CCATGTTATGTATGCCAAAGAAATAAAAAGAATTAAAGTAAAGAGATGTTAAGGGATAAAACGTAGGTCCTAGAGCAGTGAGTTTGTAACTCCAGTTTGACCTATAAGGTGAATGAGTTAAGCTACGAGATTTGGTAGACTCATAGTACACATCCCAACCTTTAATTGGATGTGTACACAAGGAGATACGAATTTCCAAAGTTGAGGCACAGAATCTGAAAGTTCCAGATTTTATGAAATGAACAGTAATGTTTATTAATTAAACTGTATGAATTGGGCAAGGATAAGTCTAATTGGATATTTTTTCCTTGAAGAGCTTTCAAACATATTTCCATATAATTTTAGAACACCTCAATACGATTTTTATGGATTTAGTTATGAATTTTTGAAGTTGGACTTATAATCTCAAAATTTAATAGTGAATACTAACCAAGTAGTTATGTTGAAATTTTAAATCCACGGGTTTGTGTTATGATCTACTTGAACCATAATGCTTACGAATGCATGCTCTAAGGGGTTAAAGTTAGGAAGTTTCATTCTTCACCATGTCCATTACCGAACCGCCCACAATCTCCTATTGGTTTTGAAAGAACAAAGCATTCATCCCATTAAGACTTGGAGATTTAAGAACACCCATGTTGAATAGTATAACTTTGATTTCCTCTTTGTCGACTTCTTTAGCTAACTCCATCATATGCATATCTTCTATCACAGGATAAGTTACATCTTGTACTTAGGATCCATTATCGCCCCCTTTATTTGAGAAAGGTCAACAAAGAAGTCTGTGGCCATGGTTTTAATGACCTTAATATCATCTGTCCAATCCCCGTTATCCTATTTTAAAGCTTCTATTCTATTTCTGCATTGTCTCCTATTACCTCTAGCATGAAAGAATCTTGAATTTCTATGTCCAAGATTATACCATTCCCATTTAGCTTTTTGGGTCCAGAGAAGCTCTTCTTGCATAATTACCTCCTCAAGCTCAAGCCAAAGCTTCCTTTGTAACTGTTCCATAGACGAGGACGTACTTGAAGTGCCTCTAGCATGTGAGGTACCCTCCAACCAACCCATGAGCCAGCTTTTTTTCCTCTCTAAATGACCAAAATTTTTGCTACTCTGGTGGATGAGTTCATGAGTAAGGCTATCTGTAGTCTCGATCCATCTACCATTATTCTCCCACTTATCTTTAACTAACCTGCTAAAGTCATCAAGGAGAATCCAAGGAGCATTAAAACGGAAAGGATAAGAGGTAGAGTTATTATAAAACATACCTAGATGAAGTTGGAGGAGGAGGGGGCAATGGTTTGATTTGAACCAAGGGAGATTCTTTACAACAGCATCAATGTATACCTTGGCTTTTATGTTAGAAAGCACCCAATCAATCCTGCTTTCACACCCTTCTTGCTTCCAAGTATAATAGGGACCAGAGCAACCCATATCGACCAGGTCCATATTCTCCACTCAGCTACAGAAATCATTGTACATAGGAGTGGTTTTCCAAGCAAAGGATCTACATTTATGTGCAAATAACGTACTATTGAAGTCCCCTCCTATGAACTAAGGCCATTCATCTCCTGGGTTGATGTTTTATAGGTTTTGCTAGAGTGACCTTCGAATACTACTGCTCGGACAAGCATATACTGAGGCGATAAAGATTTTTTTTGCCATTTTATTCCTCCACCACATGGATAAATTGGTCGTTAGTTTCCAAGATTTTTAGATTGAAATTATCATTTGACTAGGAAACCCAAATTCCACCTCAGAGGCCAGAAGTATCAATAATTTTACAATACTGGAAGCCCAATTTTTTACTTATTTGTAGAGCCTCGTCACTGCCACACTTAGTTTCGAAAAGAGTGCAAAATTCAGCCTTGAATCGTTTTTTATTTCATGAATGAGTTCGGGGAGAGCCTTAGACCCAGTGCCCTTGCAATTCCGGAAGATGCAATGTATAGGGGGTGGATGAAGGGGATGTCCTGCTTATAGACCCCTGGTTATTTCGTTGAAGATTGTTGCTTGATTTAATTTGTTGAAATAGCTCATTCTAGTCGTTCTCAAGAGGAGATAATAGCATGTCAGTGTCAGTGATGGCTTTCGAAGCGTGACCAAGATTTGATGCATCGATAGTATTTTTGCTTGGCCCTAGCTGATTGGACCGCCCATTGTTAATTGAAGAGTCTCCTCGTCATATCCAATAATATGGTAATTAGGAATAAAGATATTCCTAAATATTCAAAGGCCAAAGAGGATAAGGAGAAATAGAAGATTTATGGTGGAAAATAATTATTATGATTTTCCAAGTCAATTATGTAAAGTTTGACTAATTAAGAAAAATTGGTCAAAATAATTATGAAAAAATATTTTTAAATCTTAGAAAATTAAGAAAAAAATAAGGATAATATTTTTTGAGAATTATATGAGGTTATATAATTAGTTTTATGACCAAATTACTCTTAGAGAAATTACAAAAGAATTTAAGGTTGATTTAGCCTAATTTAAGGCCTTTTATTTGAAAAATTCCAAATAAATATTTGGAAGGAGAGTAAAATCCCAAGAAAATTTTTACAATGTCCTAAGGATTCATAAGAGATTACGTGATTAAAAGAAGACTCTTAGATATCCAAGATTTTTTCTAATTATTTGGACTAGTGGAAAAATCACTAATAAGAAGAAAAATAGTTTCCTTCTTATTTAATTAATAGAAAATTGAGTTTAAGCTAAATATGGTATTTTGGAAAGAGAAAAATAAGGAGAATAAATTATGGATCTGATAAAAAATAATTACAGAGGTCAGAGTACTGTAATTATAGAAGGGAAGTTAAACTAGGAGTAAAAGTGCACTGATAAAGTGAAGACTAGAGTATTGCACTTTACTTGGCACAAGATGCCACTTGCCAAGCCCCTATTAGAGAGTAATTAAACTTTGCAAGTGTTAAGTCTTAAGTGGAGAAGAGTTTGACTTTTGAAAATTAATTATATTTGGATTTATTTAATTAAGAGAGAGGTTGCAAGATTAAATAGGCAAGTGACACTTGGCCTATAATTAATGTGGGTTGTTGAGATATTTGTTTGGCATTAAATGAAGCTCATTCTCCCCCTTTTCAAGACTATGACTCGGCCAAGGAGAAGAGGAAGTGAGCAAGAGGAGTTTTTGAAGAATGATCAAGGAAACACAAGCTACTTTGATCTACTAAGTCAAGATCAAAGGTTAGTAAGTTGTTTCATAGTGGTTATTGGTTGTTTTCTTGAAGTGTAATGGTTGAAAAATCCCATTCTTGCCTCTTGTTGGTGTTGGCTAAATTGGTTAATATTAGGGGAGGGAAGTTTTGAAGTTAAACATAGCTAGAACACTATGATTCAAGGTGGTTTCAAGTGGTTTGGTGTTGTTTTGAAAAGTTTTTCATGGTCAAACACCAAGAGGTATGGTTCAGCCACTTTCAAAACTAGAACATAGGATGAGTTTTTCAATGTTTTGATACTTCCATTATGCTCAAAATGGAAAATGGTGCAGGATAAACCCAAAGAACAAGTGTTGGAAGCATTAAAATCAAAGTTGTGATTTTTAGAAAACTTAAAACCCTATTCGGCCAACCTAGTTCTTGAGGAAAGAAGTTTCTTTTCTTAAATATAAGAGCATATTTGGAATCTACATGAAAAACCATGTAGGAATAAACCAAGAAAGGATTTTTAGAGTTAAGGAAACAAAGCTCTAAAATTAAAGAACAAAGATTAAAGCTTTAAAGGCTAAGGAATTACTTGACTTTTGTTATTGATTTTATGTGGTTTGGTTAGTAACCTTGCTGCCCCTTTTATAGATTGTTGTGTTAGGGTTTGATATTTGTATAGGAGAGGAAGAAGATCAAAGAAGCAAAGAGCTTTTGGATTAAGGTAGTGGGATTTAATTAGCCACTAATGTTAACTTTGCATTGTTATTTATGGCATGAATGCTTGCTATTGTATGGTTGGATTATGACGTTTGTGATATAGTTGCTCCTTGCATATTGTTGCCTTGGCTATTACATGTTGCGGTTGCCTATTATGAGAAGATTAGTTCTCCTATGATAGCTATTGTTTTTGAAGTGCTTTATAATGATGTATGTTGATGTTTGGTTGATTGATTTTGCTACTGGGATTTCATTGAAATCTCATCCCCCATATGTAACCTAACATTTTAGGGGCTGAATCATCAAAAGGAAAGCTACAAATTCAAGGGTAATTGTGGTGGTGAGCCATGAGAAAACAACTATATTTTGGTTATGTGTAAGTATGTATGTTTGATGTTGTAACCTTAAGCAGGACACCAACTTGGAGCCATGTTTTGGCTAAGTTCCCGGATGAATTTCTGTACGAAATTTGATGTGCTTAAAGTTCACATGATAAGCTTCAATTTGATAGGTAGCATGTTAAAAATAGACAACCATTTGATTTTTAATGATTTTTCAAAGTTAAGGTCCAGAATCTGGAAAAAGGGTTTTTACCAAAAGGACAAAGGTGGATTTCACAAAAAATATGGCACTTTCTCATAAGGAATTAATTTCTAATATTATTTTTTCTTGAAAGAGCATTCAAAGAACTTTCCACAGAATTTTGAACCACTCCATTTTAATTTTTCTAGATTAAGTCATGATTTTTTGAAGTTGGACCAGAAAACTGGATTTTTACCAAATGAACAGTAAAAATCTGAAAAGTAGCGTCCTTAACGTCCTAAATGAGATTTTTTAGTCCAAGACCATCCAATGTGGTCTAAAATGGTTCCAAATAAACTTTAAGTCATTCTAGAAGTAAGGTGTAACACTCCTGCTTCCTTTTTATTCATGGGCTTTGCATCATTTAGGTCTATAAGGGATTGGAATGGGTTCTGGGCCTGCCAGAAGTTAGAATTCCCAGGAGGTTGTTTGTTAATATTTGGATCTCTATTCTTTGTTTCTGGAGAAGTATTTTCCTTTCCTCTATTTGAAGTTTTGTTTCTAAAATATCTTTTCTGGTCTACTGGGACCCACCTAATATTGTTTTGATTTTCCTTCCCAAAATTTTTGGCATTCTCGTTGGTTGCTTTTGTGTCTTTTACATGAACTTTCTTATTTTGATTCTCTGAATTTCTTAGGTCACAGGTGTCACGGTCCTGCTTCAAATTGACTTTTAGGTGCTCAAATCTCTGCTGTGATCCACTCCTAGTTCCCATATTTTCATAATTGCCAGATTTTCTACCTCTTAACCTTTGGACTAGATTCCACACCCCAAGCCTCTCTATTGGCGTCATCGCCACCTTGCCGAAGAGTCCTCCGGTGATCTGAGCTTCCATCAATCTTTTTGGAACGTCACTTTCAAACACATTGTGGCAGGCCTCTTGGTGGTTTACTGTTGAATCCTCTATAGCCTAGTTCAAATCCATACTTTCCTTCCCTATTGTTTGGTGCACTTTTCCTAAACTCGAATCTTCATTCAGCTGTTCCTCAAGTATCTTGAACATCTTTGAGCATGTGTCCCTGTGATGCACAAACTTTCCACAGTGGAAACAGATCAAATGGAGCCCTTCATATTCAACTACATGCCTTGACCCAAAGATGGTGAATCTTGATTTGAGTTGTTTATTAAGATCTAATTCTACGTAGATGTGAGTTTACCGACCTCTTTGACTGGTATAAGTAATATGATCTATCTTCAACGTTCTCCCGACAAGGCTACCTATCCTTTGTAGGTTGGTCAGGTTGAAAAACTCGAGTGGAAGCAATGGAATTCTAACCCACACCACAATCTTCTTCTGGCTCTCAGCATTCCAGGGGTCAAAGTTAGGTCTCCAGCATTGGACTACTATATATCTATCTCCTAGCATCTACAGCCCTTCTTCATAAATGGCTTCCAAGTTTGCTTCATTCTCAAAAGAAACCACGAAGAACCCGTTGTCAATGTCTCTTGTTGTAAATGAACTAGTTGTCTTCCATAGTCTTTATAAACCCGGTTGCATGACCCACAGTGGGACCTTTTTACCAAGCAAGTGTACGATCAAGGATTTTTGCCACGCTACACACCAAAACTCGTGCTCTTCCTTGGAGATCTTTAGTATAGGATAGTCATCATCATTGTCCACTTCCTCTCTGTCGGAACCATTCAAGTTGTTGACTTTATTTGGGTCACAAAAGAAGTTCTTTGGACCTGCCATGTAGTTCGCCCATGCATCCTTTAAAATACAGCAACCTTTGCTATCTTTCAAAACATTATCAAGTCTATATATATATTATTCTATTCGTTAGTTGTCATGGGAATAAATAATGTTCATCTCGTCTTTTTTTCCTCTTGTAGTTCTACTCCCATAATATTCTTTAGGAAATGTTTATTGAATGGGAAAATTCAGATAGGGAGAATAGTACTTAAGGATGGTGTCTTCAAACTCAACTGAGACAATATACTTTAAAAAAAAAAAAAACTCAACCGAGACAATCTAAAATTACTATTCTGTCAACAATCTTAAGTAATACTAGCTATTGATAAAATTTTTCAATTATCAAGTTTCATCTATTTATTTTCTTGTTTCTCACTCATCATGTTTTTCGAGCATGCAATTAAGTGCATGTTTGGAATAATATTAGGAAGTTTTAAAAGTTAGTTGGAATAAGAAAGCACTAGTTAACCAACTATAGGACTAAACGAGTACAACGATCATGACAACCATGATGACGATTGTTGGTTCTGAGGGAGAGGGGTTGGAGGAGAATATCTGTTTCTCAAAGTAGAAAGAAGGTGAGGAAGAAGGGTAGCAAGGGAGATGGTGATACATATATGATTAATGATTAGGTGCGCCTCTCTTTTATAGAGATGGGGTTTTTAATATGGAGGAAAGGGCGAACAGTGCAACAAAGCATGGGATAATGCAATGGATATGGCTTGGAAAGAGTACATTGATATACTCAAGGGATGCTTTGTTGACTCTCATTCATCCGTGAAGACAAACCATGAGAATGTTGATGCAAGAAGAAAAAAAGGAGGTCCAGACATTACATGTCGCACTAGAGGAATATAAGGCTTGGTGTGCATTGTGGTGAAAGTATTTGATGTTGAAACCTTTTTGCATTAGTCTGGCTCTCTACAAGATAGAGTAGAAACTTGACTTTATATGGAAAGCTGAGTAGTCCCTTAAACTACTGGATTAAGTGAATGGTTATTTCATAGCTTTCTTTAAAACTGAGAAAGATCTGAATTATCTTTACTAGAGGGGCCACAAACGGTGGTTGACCACTATCTATTGATACAATAGTGGAGGCCAAATTTTAACCCATTAAATTCTAAGCAATAGAGGAAAATAGTAGCTTGGGTTTATATCAAAACTTGCTTGGTCGAGTTCTACAATTATGAGTCCTTGGAGCGACCAGGGAACATGATAGGGAAGACTCTGAAGGTTGACTTGGTTTTTCTCATGAGGTCTAGAGGTCGTCTTGCATGAGTTTATATAGAGCTAGATCTCTAGATGGTTCTAGAAGTGTTTGGGAGAGAACTAATCTTAGAATATGAGGTATCGCACTTAGTCTATTTCAATTATGGCATCTATGAGCACTACTATGAGGCCTGTTGTAACATCCCAAATTTTCGCTCATGGATACAATTAATAGCACAAGAAAATGATGATTACTAAGTCTAATCGAATGAAAGTCCAAGAGATCCCTCGGAAGGAAAAAGAGATTTTCTAAGGGCAAACGTTTGAAACAATAGTGTTCGAGGACTAAAGAATGATGAATTGGAAACAACTATGGGCCAGAGGTTATGCTAGAAACTTGCGAGAGATGGTTCCGAAGGTTAGGCCTAAAGAGGGACCAAATTACAAAGAAAAGATTCTTAGGCCAAGTAAGAACCTAATTGTAATTAATGAAGTTCTAGTCAACCAATGTTCAAAGTTATCAAAAATGGCCCAAATGTTCCAGAAAAATTCCAGAAAAATGGGAATAGGATCCTGGAGTCGATATAAGGTAGAAATGATAGAAATGCCCTGAAGTCATTCCAGGGTTTTGAGCAATTTGATATAGTAACTTAAATTGAATTATTTAAGCTATGAGACAACCTCGAATAATCAGGAAAAACTGGGGGACAGTAGTTGAGGAATTTACATAGATTGTAAAATTAATTCCGTCTCCAAAAACTGACAATGTTAGCTTTAATTAAATTTAAAGCCTATTTATACCCTATCCAGGGAAAGTCAAAATAGCTGTCTAAGATTTGACTTTTGGCTTAAGAAAAATTAGAGGAAATCCCCATGATAAAAGGGAAATAATGAAACCCAGAGACAGATCAACAAAGTTATGAGCCAGTAGAAAAGAATTCGGCAAAACCGACTCTGATTAAATATTATTTAATTAATTATGTCATTGAGGAGAGAAGAATGGGATGTTCCTTTCCCTATAAGTATACCATGAGAAGATTAAATTAAGAGTCAATAGAAGATACATTGTCAATGCTCAGAAACCCAGGATGGAGCCGGACTGACAATGTTGGGTCCCTTAAGGGTCAAAATAGGAAATTTATGAAAAATTCTCAAAAAATTCCCTAAAAATAGAAAATGTAACATCCTTATTTTATCTAGTATTTAATTAAATTTATAAATAAATATATTTTAGTATTAAGTTAATTAAAAAAAAAAGAAAAGAAGTTAGATATAGGCAAATTATTATTATTATTATTTTAATAATGTTTTTGTGTGTGATTGTGTGTGTGTGGATGATATTCTAGAAAATTAAACCATGGTATAGAAGTCCCACATCGACTAATCTTTAGAGTGAAGGAGTTTGAGGAGCCTATATATAGGAGATAATGAATGGAGCTTGAAGTGAGTAAATAATTTTCGCACATATCTGAGGTAGTCTCAGAAAAGTGCTAGTTTTGAGTTTATTAACCGTTGGATCGGACTGAAATTTGGTCAGCCCATTTGGGACATCCAAATCGTTAATTTCAATGGTTGGATCATCATTTTGATCTCCGAGTTACAAGTTATTAGGTACGTTTTTAACTTATATCTTTTGGATTTAGCAGAGAGAGTCCTGAATAGTAAATTAGCATTTTAAAGTTCATTCACCGTTAGATTGAGCTATAATTTGGAGGATAGTATCATGATAGATAGGGAATTAAATTCAACGGTTAGATTAAGGGCTTAACTTCTGTAGTGAGAATAACCTGGTTCATACTAAGTCTATTTGTCTAAGTCCTTCGAAGATGGAATATAAGTTATAAATTTACAGTTTGTCTGTTTACCTTATGAATTTGATGATTCTAATAAAATAATCTAATAATTAAAGGATACTTAAGTAAGGAAAATTTAGGAATCGAGTCTAAATCATATATATATATATGTTCTCATTCCAAACATTAGAGAAATGTCTTTTAGGCTAGAGTTCTGAGTAAAATTAAAGCTTTTAAAGGAGGAGTTAGAAGCTAGAATTTTGTGAGTAGCCTACTCTAGTACTATAGAGGTAATATTTTAATTTTGTTTGTAGATATAAACTCTATTGTGGCATTTTCGAGGTTGGACTCTGATTGTAATTGACTGTTAGCTAGGAGACCAGGTAACTAAATTTCTATCTGTTGCATGCTCTAGTATGAAGTTAGTGAGCGACTTTATAACTAATTCTATAAAAGTATATTACGTTTTGTATGAACTGTCTTGTGGGATGCTATTTTAAAAAGGATTGACATAGTTTGTATTGCAAGAAATTGGTGATCATGATTATGATGTGTTATTATGAAATTCTGTTGATTATGCATATAAATGTGTCATTTTAAACCTTGTGTATCTATTTTGGGTGGGGAAAGGAGGTAATTGGAGTTATTGAGATTCATATACTTGCCACGTGGTATTAGCCTCCATACGGAGCTCTATGGTTGGCTGCTATTGTTGTCCCACTAGTTCTTCGAGGGATTACGACACTCTACTAGTTCTTCGAGGGGGGACCCATGGTCCACCGAGTGCTCTGTGGTCTTTGGCCAGTTCACATCATTCATGTGGTGAGCTTGTCAGAGTTGCCAGTTAAATGGAAAGAACTTGACCCATGGGTCCAGTCGGCGGAAATAAGGAGGATATAAGGATGGATTTGGGTTCAGGAATTGTATATGACATGGGATATTCATTGATATTTCCATCTTTTGAATAAATGACAAGTATGTTATCTCTTTTGAAATGTATCAATTGCATGAGATTGGTAGAAATATTTGTCTTGTATGATTATTGTGAGTTTAAATGTTAAATAAATGTTTATCAACTATTATTAGCTCTGTGTATCCCACCTGACACCTCTCTAGCCCATGCTAGGGTGTGGGATAGGT